GCTTCAGAGTTCAGGCCTTACAGGCCATATTGTTGTTCCGCCGTAGGACCCAAGATCTCTGGACCAGCCAGGAGTGGCGGAGGCAAGCGTGGCTGAACTTCTCCGGAGCCTTCCAGCATCTTGGTGGAGAAACTCAGGGTTTCGTCTGGTTTCCGGGTATAGGGATTTGCAAGAGGGTTGCACAATGTTGTGCCACGCACGTCTCGAAATGAATTTATTAGTACCGCTTCTGTATCTGTCGTTCGCCCACTGACCTGAAGATGCAAGCCGGTAGGCACGTACTGCGAACAAACAACACACTTCACAGGTTGCAAAATCTGCAAAATTGAATTCAGCATGTACGGCAGGGGTTGACATGGGCTGTGCCACTGAAGGGCTGCTGTGTTTCATAAGGTTCCCCAAACCTCCCCCCAAAGGGATATCCCCACGGATTCCCCACATACAACCATAAGGAATCCTTGGGGGTACCCTTTTTGGGGGGAGGTTTGGGGAACCTTATACCCAGACTCCTGGGAGGATCCAAAAAATGGATCCACCTTTAAGTCTTTATACTCTCTCCCATAGGAGTAAACAGATTTGGGGGTTCCATGTTTTTGATCCTCCCAGGGGCGTGGACAAGTGTTGGACTTCATGATGATATGCTGCGCAGCTTCAACATCAACATCCCTGGCCTCAACTCCCCCAAAAGGCTCCAACACCTTCTTGGCCTCAAACCCTCTTGCCCAAGTGTTGGGCTGCAATCCTCAACAGTTTAAATGGCACGGGAAAGCACCGTCATCACTTGAAAGGGACAGTAGTGTAAATGCATACATGCAGCCTTTTCCCAGTCCCAGCAGAGAACATAGCAGAATCTTACAAAGCCAGACACGCGAGCCAACCACTGTCTGCAACAAAGGCTGCCGAGCTGCTGTCACTACTGTTGATGATAGAAGTCCTGCATGACCCTTCAAATACTATTCTACTATACTACCATATTTCTAGGGTTTTAGCATAAGTGGTCATGCAGGATTTTACCATCAACTATAGTGCAAGTAGTATCTACATGGTTCTTTGCCGCCACTTGCGCCTTACAGTTTAGCCAACACAAATGGCCTTACCTAACGCACATACATTAATTTAGAATACGAGCCCTTTTGTGGTTTAAGGTATATCCTTTAGTTAACCCTAAACCCCAAATCCTGAATCCTGCTGCAGCCGGAAAAGAGCCCTTCAAAAAATCCTGAACCCTAAAGGCCCTAAACTCCAAATCTTGAGTCCTAACCCTAAACCCTAAACCCTAAATAACCCTAAACCCCCAACCCTAAACCCTTATGAATGTCCCCTCGATGAAAGCCTTTTGAGCACCCTGGCTTGCGCCTGAAGGCGGTGCGGGCCAAGTGCCGTCTGCATTGCAGGGCACGAGAGCTGCCAGGACTGACTTTTGCCATGGTCTAGGGTTTAGGGTATAGGGCATTGGTTTTAGGGTTCAGGGTTTAGGGTTCAGAGTTTGGGGTTTAGGGCCTTTGGGTTTAGGTTCAAGGTTTTAGCGGTTTAGGGGTTGAGGGGTTTTCGGGTTGGGTTTTGGGATGCAGGGTTCATGGAGACACGACCCATGCAGAGCTAGGCCGTGCTCGCACCTGCTCATGCCTGACTGTACTTGAAATTGGGTAATTAAACCGTAGTACAGCTGTATTTCCAACCGAACCATTGCCAAAACTGAAGTGTCTTTGCGCAGATGCAGGGACACGTGCTTTGGCCTAGGGCCTAAGACTGCCAGATACTCCCTGCAACAACCTGGAACCACAGCAACATTGAAGCAACACCGCCACTGAAGAGTACTTGTTTGGAAGAGCTCAACAGACCCTGTATTCTCTCAACCCTGGACCCTTCCACCCCAAACCAACGACACCGAATCCTCAAGGCTTCAACCCCCAACCCCTAACTCTAAGCCCTAAGCCCTCTACACCGAACAGGATGCTTGCTCAGCAGATGTACAGTGCGAGCAGTTCCCGCTGAGACTCTGTGCCTTGGCAAGCCAGGCCGAGAGACGGAATGGGAATGGTAGTCTTACTCGTGGTTAGTAGGGAATAATGGAGCACATTCTATGGGGATTACATGGGGATGATATTCCCTTATTCCCTACTGAGAACCAGTAAGTAGTTGAAGCTTCAGGGCTATTTCGTAGTTGCAGTGTGTCGGTTTAGAGGAAGCACCAGCTGTTCAGAAGCATGCCGCAAGGCTACCAGCACGACTGTAAGGATGACGATGGTAAGGATGACGATGGTGTTGCCGGCCAGTGCTTGTGGATTTTTTTGAAGTTGACAACCTCCAGGTGAGTTGCCATTAATACTTGTGTAGAATTGGATGTAAAGCTTCTAAACCTATTTCATCCATGCTTTGAGCTAGCAGGGTGCTGATCGAAGGTGATTTTCTACAGCATTGTCGAAACAGAAGGTCATGGCTCTTGAATTTCCATCGTGTTTCCTGAGTAGAGGAAGGGACACCTACGGTTTCAGCGCAAGTAGCCTTACGCATATTCATCATTGACCGTTGTTCGCAGTGTAGCAATTGACTGTACGTCTAGGGGCTCTGAACTTCCGAAGGTTTCCTGATTGATCTTATACGTATCGAAACGTGACTTACTGGTTATTAGTAGGGAATACGGGAATATTTTCCTATATACAAGACTTTGCGAGAACCTGTAGGGTCAGGATACTGCAAGTGTTTCTCTAGCTGCACTTGAAACTCACTCAGGGGCTGCAACGAGGTTAGAAGTTAGAAGGACTGTCACACTTGGATTCTAGGTACTCGGAACCACTACACCCTAAACACCAGGTTCTAAGCCCTGAAGCCGAAAGCCTACATCCTCCATCCGAAGCTGGCCAAGCCGGAGTGGGGCAGCTTCGACCAAGGCAGCACAGAAACCGCGCAGTGCGTCCACAAGCCGCTTTTCGGCTCCTTCGGCCAAAAGGGATACGAGCCATGCTGAGGCTTTTGGGATTGAAGTTTGAAGGGGTAGGCTTTAAGGACGTTTTAGGGTTTAGAATTTAGGTTTGAGGGTTGTTTCAGGGCTTAAGGTTTGGGATTTAGGTCAGAACAGACTTCGTGGATGAAAATGCTACCCTTCATCCCATTGTGGCCTTAGCAGATCCCTTTGCGTAGACAACGAAAGCATCAATTCATTCGTAGACTGAGGAGCGTCCTGGTAGCACGGAACACAGGCTCGCAGCTTTCGGGCCTTTTGCGACATTCTCGCAGCTAAAGATCCCAGGCTTAAGGAGGAATATTAGTCTTACAACAAAGCAAGTAGGAAAAGAGAGGAGAATCGTGGAAGGCTTCAGCGGCTTCAGTTGGGATTCTGATAGGCTGTTTGCAAAGATGCAAAGGTCCCGTCAGGTAAGATGAGATCTTTGTCAGCGGTGTAGGCATTCTTTGGGCAAATGCAATGGCCCACTTTCTTTTCAGGGTTCGTCCAGCGTGCTTTCTGTGTGCCTGTTGCCAGCATGATACTTGGAACTTAGCCCGAAGCTAAGTTTGCAGTATGGGACGCTACACTACACCGGGTCCTGTCCCGCCTAAAGATGGGACCCAAGGAACACTTGAATCAGACCTTGAAACCTCATGGTGGGGCAGGGGGGTGTAATAAGGCGACAGGCAAGTAGAGTATGGGATGTGAGCCAGTGTTTTTATGATTGTTTGGTTAGTGTATTCATTTCTTCTTAGGGGAATGGAATGATATGAAGGTATATACACTGGTTGCCAGAGATAAAAGCCCTGGCTTATGTGCACCCCAGGCCATCCAGTTGGGGCCGACGTTGGCGCGGCCTTCGTTTTCTTCCTCATCAGTGGTGTCTTGCCTTGATACAGAAGATGTACATGCATGCACCTATGGTGCGCACGTGTGTATTACATGTCTTGTCTTAATTTCGGCATGGATTAGTATGGACATTTGCTCGGTCATGTATGCGGCATGTACGTACATCCAATGTGTGTATGTGTGTATGTGTATATATCTATATATACACCGAGAGAGAGAGAGAGAGAGAGACATGCATGCATCCATAGACGATGGTAGGGGGAGATATACATATAATATAAATATGTATTTACATAGGGAGAGAGAGAGCAAAATACAAACAAGTTGTGTGGTCTTTTCAAGTTGCAGCGCCACAGAAGTTTCTGTCGCTCACACGCTGGCCCTTTGCATGTTATACCCCTGCTGCGACTACAAGAACGGCTTCAAAAAATCATGCCGTAACCCCACCCTTTTCTTGTACTACAAAGTAACAGAAGGTTTGCAGGTGATGTAATTCCCATGTCTTCTTTATCGTACACAGCACAAATTTCGCCATGTAACACCCACGTCTTCCCTGCACTTCAAAGCAAAGCTCTGAAGGTCTTGCCCTGAGCGCTGGCATCGGCGGTGGTGGCCTTTATGTCCCACTGCTGATGATCATCCTGGGCGGCTGGGCTCAGACTCTGATGCTGCCCGAAAGGAGACCCCAACTTGTACTGTGCTGCTGGGTGCCTGGGTTGTAGGTTGAAGGGCTCAGGGTTAGGAATTTGTGGAGAGTTTGGGGTGAAGAAGTAGGAGTCAATTTCAGTGTTGGGGGCTTGGAGTGTGGGGATCAGGCTTGAAACTTTGCTTGTTTGAAAGAGGCCGACCCCCGTTCCTCCTCGAATTTTATTGCATCAACGCCTCAGCCTGCGCCTGACCCTAAAGCAGTCCTGGTCAAGAGCCGGGCCATTTGGGAGCTTGTTGCGATTATGAATCCCTTTCTTGGGTTGCTACATGGTCCCTGCTGTATAGGGACTCCACAGTATCGCGCAGTCCACTTGAAGGCCCTAACTCCCTTCTATGGCTGCTACTTACCAGGACAATTTCGTTTTAAGCCCCAAACCACAGGCCTTGCATGCGGGAAAGTTGCAGTGTCGGCGCTACTTTCCTCCGCATGCGCATTGCTCAAGACATCCCAGCAGCTGCACAGGGGTTTAGACGTCGTCTGCCTTGGGTAGACGACATGGGCAACGTTTGCTGCGCTGTGGATGGCCTCAGCAGTGGGTCTGAGGTACGGCTCGGCAGCAAGGGCAAGCGCAAGGTGAAATGCAACGGGAAGACGTTCGCTCCGTTTGGCATGCGCAACAGCGCCGAGCCGCCCGTGAAAATGTCCAGTTTCAATCCGGATGGCGCGGGCTCAGCAGACAAGGTGGATCTGCGAAAGTGGATGACACCGGTGGAGGATCAGTCCCAGTCCAACAGCTGCTGTGCAAACGCGGTGGCCGGTGCGTACGAGTACATCAACAAGCGGGAGGCCAGGCAACCCCAAATCCCGAAGCTTCAACTTCAGAAACCGGAAGCCGTAGCCTGAAACGACAAACCCAACAGGCCATGAAGAGAGGGGATACCACAGCCGACATCTCCCGGCTCTTCATCTACTATGTTGGGAGGAAGAAGGACCAGCTGACCTATGGGGATGACACGAAGATGGCACCCCAGGATGAGGGGATGACTTTGGGAGGAGCCATCAGCGCCCTGCAGTTGAAAGGGGCTTGTATGGAGGAAGACTGGCCTTTTGACTTGACCAAGGTGGGGGCCTTGCTTTAACAGCGCTTTGGTGGTACTTGTGAATACTTTTGCCAAAAGGAGGGGTACCGGGGGGGAGGTTTTTCTATGAGAGATTCACAGGTGAATGACAAGCCTGACGATCACTGCTTCGACAAAGCCATGAAGTTCAAGATCTCGAACTCCCGGAAGGTCCCTCTGGACTTGGAGGTGATGAAGGCTTGTCTGGCAAAGGGGGATCCCATCGTCTTCGGCCTCAAGCTGACTGACCAGTTCTTCAATCCTCTGCGTGGTGGCTTCATACCGACGCCCGATCCCAGCGACCCCCAGTCTGCGGAACACGGGCTTCATGCCATGCTGCTGGTCGGCTACAGCGACCGCCAGAAAATCTTCATTGTTCGCAACAGCTGGTCCGCGAGTTGGGGTGACCAAGGCTATGCCTATGTCCCATATGACTACATTGCGAATACGGAGTTCAATTTCCTGGGCATGTACGCGATCACAGGCTTGACGGAGGTGGACTTCACGCCGGACGAAGATGATGGCGGTGACTTCACCTTCGAGCAGGAGGGGGAGGGCAAGCCAGATGCTAGGCAGGAGTCGAGAATGTTTTTTGCTTGCGTAAGAGCCAGAACATTGCTTTGGAAGCCTTGTGAGCGTTGTTTAAGGACCTCAATGAGTATCAAGACGACCCGGATGAGATCAAGGAAGATGGTTTCGATGCGGAGGACGCTTTCAACCCGGACTCAGAGGCGCGTCGCGCCTTTGCAAAGTTCGATATGAACAGAAATGGCACGATAGATGCGATGGAGCTCCAGATGGCCCTCATGATGACTGGCACCTTCTTGTACCCCCACCAGCTAAATGCGATCATGCAGAAGTGTAATGTGGATGGCAAGCCGGAGCTCAGCTTTGAAGAATTCCACCGCATTACGAAGATGAAGCCATCCGACGTGGACATGTGATAGGCCTGGTACCTGCTCAGGAAGCCCGAAGGCAGGCTCGAGGATTTAGGTGAGAAGGACGAAGTTTTCTGACACCTGCTTTTGCCTGTCGCACCCGATAATCCTTTGCAACTTCATGGCCTTTTTTTTGTGCTGGGGGTCATATGAATCCCTCGCGTACGTTGGCCCCGCGGTACATGTGGGTGATACTGCGGGCGTAAAAAGCCTGGAGTCGTGACATACACAGTTCCAGCTGCGGTCGGACACGCACTAAGTAGACAAGAGCACGCAGTTCTGCATAAAGTTTCCGTTAGACGCGCAATGGCATTATCACGCGAGCTACAAGCGAAGCCTGAATAAGCAAGTACTAGTGACGAGGGTTCCTATTCTATCCGCGCGGCCGTCTTGGTTTTTTCTTGCTGTGGCTGAGGGGATGAATTTGGGGATAGGCTTTGACTACCTGCTACCGAAGGATAACCTTTGGTGTTGCAACGGACAGTCCGGCAAGCAAAGCGTCGCTACTTCAAGCGACAAATCCTAACTCCCCAAACCCCCATCCTAAACCCCTCAAACCCTAGGCTTTACACCTCAATCCTGCAAGGCTTTCAAGTCCACGAAGCCACTGCGATCTCGCAGCCTTGCCTCGCCGGAGGCAGGGTTCGCCGAAGAGGCCTTAACAAAGAGGTTGAAAGGTTTAAGGTACACGGAGAGGCTGGGGTCAATCTGTAAAGCATTTTCGATGGCACAACTTCCTGCAGAACTTCTTCTTCCGATGGGTTTAGAATATGGGTTTAGGAGTTAACCGATTGAGGCGTTGGGGGGATTGCTAAGCATGATGCGTCAATCCATGACAGGACACTGACTACGATTAAAGGCATACCCCTCAGCAAAGACCTTTGGGCTCCTTGAGAAGTTTTTCCTGGCCGTTTCTTGCATCAGCTGTTCAGGATTGGGTGTTTGAACTCTTGAATTTGTTCCTTCTCAAGGCTCGGGGAAATTATGATGGAAGAAACACCGCAATTCCGCAGATTGCTATGATATTCGCAACCACTTTTCGGTTGTTCCTGCTGCAGGAAGATTTGTTTGAGGGCATGTGAAGGATGCCGTAGTTTCGGCAACTGCCCCTGGGGCTGGGGCTGCTTCATGACATGATTCATGGGAGGTCCAGTTGTGTTGCACTGGCCGTTGTGCAAGTTTAAACAATTGCCCAGCCAGGTCTATTACTCACCTTGACTGTAGCTGCTGTCCACTTCCACTCGGTCAGAGTGCTGCGGGGCGCGGTCCACCAGGATGTCAAACTTGCTGTCCGCGATGTGTTCGCTGCACGTGCTACTCCGGGGAACCCAAACGGTGCCCTACACCCTAAGCCATAAGCTGTTTAAACCGGTACAATGCCATCATGTCGGGCACTTTGGAGATGCAGTAGAGCAAAGCAGCTGATTGAAGCTTAGTGGCAACCCTAAGCCCTACAAACCCTGAACCTGCATCCTAAGAACAAAGCTGTGCTTAAACCCTAGACCCTGAACCCTGAGCTGTGCATGGTTCTCGTGCGATGCAGGTGCAGCCAGTGCTTTGATTTACAACCTCCGCCAGCGGCATTCCTCCGGACAGAAGCCAATGATCGACTACGACCTCGTGCGGCTCAGCCAGGATTTGGGGATTAGGGCGTAGGGTTTCAGGCTTAGGTCTTCAGGCTTTAGGCTTTAAAATAAGTTTGAGGTGTCGGGTTCAGGGTGTTGGGTGCAGGGCTTTGGGTCTACGGTTTACGGTATATGTATTGTTCCGTCCGAAGCTCCCTGAACTGTTCATTTTTCTGGAAAGCTGTGGCGCGGATCACTGGGCACTATCTTCCAATCCGTTGATCCTGCCGCTATAGGTCAGGCATAGCCGCGGTAGATCCGAAAGGGGGGACTGCATCTCGAGCCCAAGGAGCTTGTGAGAGCAGCTTTACCGCTGGGTTGCCACACGCGCGAGGTTGATCATGGGCCCGAACTTGCTGGTGGGAGCCATGGCCTCTTGGCGTTGGATGCCTGGGCTTTCGAGGTCTGGCAGTGTTTCAACAGAACCATATGTGGAAAACTGAGGGCCTTGGGGGGACCTAGTACGATCCAGTCAAATCAACAGTTCTAAGTAGGTTATAAGCTACTTTAGCCTTTCCAAGTTACATTCTCCGTCTCCTCTTGCTGCTCTCGGGGTTCATGCGCACATTACCTTTGGTGATGCTGCGTGCCGCACTGACGAGTTGCACTAACATTTGACAGGGGGCATCGTAAAGAAGTGGCCCTCTCTGTACGTTAGAACACAGCCCCCCAAGGAAAATGGACACTTCGTCTCTGGTCAGGTTCGATGCTTGTGGGGTCTTGTCCGTTCCGTTCTTCTCCTGAGGTCCGCTATGGTCCGCTATATAATGTAGTCGCAAAAATGTCGCCCGAGCCCTGACTTTCTGGACTCCAGTAGTTACCATCGATGCCCAGGCCTAGAACACAGTCCTCACCCAAAGCCGTAGAGTAAGCACCAAACGCTACATGCCAAGATCCACGTGCTAAAGCAGCGCTTTCTCTCATGCTGTTGGCCATGTTCGCACATGCTGGCTCTGGCCGTTTGTGGCTCAAGGGAAGGGATATGCGCATGTTGAGCCAAAAAGCGGAGTCTCCGACCGAGGGTTGTGTGCTTGTTAAGGGTCAGGGACCTCCAGGCTCCAGCTACTTTAGTGGCACGTTTGCATTGGTAGTGACGCTTGGGCAAGCCACGACCCAAGAGTGCGACTGATGTTCTTCGATGATGATCTCATAGACTTCGGAGGACTTTTAGGCGCAGCTGGCGCTGACGGGAAGGACGACGCGGACTCTGTCTTCCAGGAAGACGCTGTCTCCGGCACCTCGTCGAATCTGAGTGTGCCGACTCTGGATGCATTTTCGGAGGCGCCACGAAGAAAACGTGGTTCCCGAGGAGGCTCTCAGCGGGCCGCTTCGGACAAGGACGCTAAAAGATGGCGTTCGGGAGCAATCTCGCCGGCGCCGGTGTTCGACGGCGACATCGAGAAGGATCCGTACTGCCTGCGTCACTACAAGCGCAAGCTGGGCAGGTGGTTGAGGATTACCAAGGAATTCTTGCCGCCGAACGAACAAGCGCTCAGGGCTCTTGAGCAGCTCCGAGGCGAGGCTGAGTTGGAGTTCGAAGAGGTGGACGATGCCAGGTTCGACTGCTCGGACGTCATCGACAAGCTGATCAAGGACTTAGAAGTGTCGTTCGGAGAGAGGGAGTTGTTCCGTCAAGGCGGCACGATTCGTGAATTCGAGCAGGTGTGCCGGCTGCAAGGGGAAAGCGTTTCTGCTTTCATACGAAGGTTTCGCTTACTGGAGCGGAAGCTCAAGGACAATCGGGTACCCCCGTACCCGGAGCAGGCCCGAGTGGTTAAGCTGCTGGACGGCCTGCGCCTGGATGACAAATCGGTCTCGGCCGTTCTGTTGGCAGCAGGCAACGAGTACAACATGAACAAGGTCCTTGAGGCACTACGCATACAGTACCCGGCAGGCATGACTATCACAGGCATACCACGCGCTCGCCAGGACCCAAGGACTTCACGAGGGCGCCGAACTTCGTCTTCGAGATCCACGGCCTCGACCGCTTCTACCCGATCCGTGGCTTCGTCGAGGAGCTCACAAGGCGGCCGTCGTTGGCGTCAGTGGAACACCAATGCTGATGATGAGAACGATGACTGGTACAATCCTGACGCCGGCGAGAACGAGACGTGGGACTCACTGCCCGATGCTGCCTCGAACGTCCCCGACCTCGAGGCTGAGGAACCAGGCCTTCCCGAGATACCCGAGGAGGAGGCCGAGGACCCGGACCAGGACGAGACTCAGCTCAACGAGGCCGAGGAATGGGCTGAGTGGCCAGTCTCCGACTCGGTCGGTAACGCTCTCGCCGAAGCCGCGCAGGCATTGACGGTCACCTCGAAGAAGCTGGCAGGCCTTGCGCAGTCGAGAGGCTTCTACCAGACTAAGGGCGTCCCCGCTTCTTCTGGCAAGGGCAAGAAGGGCTTTCCTTCGTCCGGAAAGGGCAAGGGCAAGCAGGGCAAACCAGGCACGAAAGGCAGTGGCAAGTCGAAGGGCAAGGGGCGCGGCAAGTTGGACGCTCAATCTGCCCTCCAGCAACAGAGACTCCAAGGTAGTCTGTGCCTGGGCTGCGGCTCTGCAGATCACTGGCTTAGAGACTGTCCCAACTTCAACGTGCAGAACGCTCAGCTGGCGTCAGCCAGCTTGCCTGGGGTTTGTTTGGATGCCGACGGGGCGGTCGAGATTCACTCCAGCTGGACAACCTCCTCGAGCGCCATCGACCCGGCCCCATCGGACGTTCAGATGCTTCATGTCGCTATGCCGAGCAAAAAGAAGGTTTACTTCCAGCTTCCTCCGCTTCAAGACTTTGAGCCCAAAATCGCTAGATCTCCTAGTGTTCTACTGCAGTACTGCGAAGGACCTTGCTCGGCATACATCATAGCGGACACTGGATGCCAGCGTCAAGTAGCAGGCCAAGCGTGGCACGACCAGAAAGCCCAGGAAATCCGTCCCCTCAAGAGGCTTGAGTTCCCCGACAAGTGCAAGTTCTCGTTCGGTCCGAGTGCTCCTGTCACTTCTGTTGGTCGACATGTGTACCCGGTGGCCATTGCAGGTGTCCAGTTCAGTTTGTCGGTGAGTGTGGTCGCCGCCAAGGCCCCAGCTTTGCTTTCGAGAAGGGCTTTCGAAGCTTTTGGTGCAGTTCCGGACGTTCATACAGGCTCTGTGTACTTTAGGGCGCTTAAGTGCACATCAAGGTTGTGGTTGTCCCCTTGTGGACACTTGGCTATCCGTCTTGATGAGTGGGGCAAAGAATCCTTTCCCTGGCCCCCAAGCAGTGTGCCACGTGATTTACCCGTCATTCACCCGGCAGCTTTTGATCGCCCAAGCGTGTTGGAAACTACGACAAGCCCAGCACAACCTCCTCCGCATGCCTCGAGAGGCACCTCCGCAATGGCTGGTTCGCTGGCGAAATCTACTACAAGGCCTCCTGGGCTTTGTGAACAGCGTCCAACAAATGGTGCTGCTCTACTCAGTGACTTCTCTCAGGGGCAACTTGAAAGACCTCGTCCTTCGGAACTATGGGGTCCCGTCGACGGCTACTTCAGTCCTGAGTACGGTGGGAGCCATAGCGGCTCAGACTGCCTTGACGAACCAGTCCTACATGAAGAAGCCGGACCAATGCAGTCATCCCTCAGGATTACGAGCTTACGGAGGCGGGGGCACCAAGGTGAGGATCTGCGACGTGTGCGGATCTCGGTGGGTGGTGATGCCGAACGGAAATCAGGTACCTGCGACTCCCAAGGCCTCACCCCAAGCAAAAACTCCACTCGATCTCCCGGAGAGAGTGGTCCAAGCCCTACGCAGGGAGCGAGAGAGCAAGAATCCCAAGGCCAAGGCCGCAAGCGGAAGCCGCCAGTACGACAACGAGGACCTCGGTGCAGCGTACCCCGCCTCCTCTCGTCCCTCCTCAACAATCTTGGCGGGGATCTGTTCGGGCTCCTCCGGCGGCTATGGCTACGAGACGATCCTCCCCGACGCGACTGATGGCTCGTACGAAGCCTACGGCCCCTCCGCCTCTGACTCAGCGTCGAACATGGATGGGAAGCCCACCGGCGTCGGACACGGATCGCATGAGTGTGGACAGACGCAGTGCGGGAACTTACGATCAGGATTGGGCAAATTGGGAGGAGCCAAACTTCTTCATGGACAACCACGACCAGCTGGAAGGCTCCGAGGGTAGCCAGTTCGATCCCAACGACCTGATCCCGGACGACGACTAGATCCAGGATCAGGAGGCCCACTGGGTGTACATCCGCCTGTACAACCCCGGCTTCGCGGCGATGTTCTTCGAGGTTCTCCTGACAAGCCTCTCCTACCGGATGACCGCGGCGCCTTCTTTGTGAAGCCCGGAATGATCAAAAGTGTTCTGGGCAATCAAAGAGCAGTGCGCTCCATGTGGTTGGTAGAGCAGGAGGTGTACTTGAATCGTGCCAGGCAGGCGCGCTCTATGCGCAACTTCCGCTCGGACCTCCTCGACATCTACGGTGGCAAGGCTGAGATCACCGCCCAGGCTCTTCGAGCTGGACTTCGGGCCCTACAACCGGTCGACAAGGTGTACGGCTGGGAACTACGGCGCAAGAGCGATTATGCCAATCTGGAGAACCTCGTCCTTCGACATCGACCTTACCTTCTGGTCTACGAGATCCCCTGTACTGCGTGGTCCAACATCCAACATCTCAACTATCCTCGTGCAGAACTACAAGCACTGCGGGATCAGCAGGACCAGTCAATCAAGCGAATGGTCCGCTTGATCCAGAAGGTCAAACATACCTATGGAGGACACTTTCTCCTAGAGAACCCGGCGTACACCGACTTTTGGAAGCACCCAGCCATTCACGGACTACGCCAAACTCCCGACGTGGACTTTCAAGTCGGGTGTATGTGCGCCTTCAACCTGAAGGACGCTTCGGGAAGGCTTCTCAAAAAGCCGACGGGCTGGATGACCGACCTTCCTCGAGTTCTGGACCAAGTAGCCCTACCATGCAGCTGCGCACCGAATACCCATGGCCAAGTTCTCGGCGGGAACAGCCAGCGAGCCCAGGTCTACACCAAGGAGCTCGCAGAAGCTGTGGTGCGCGGTGTGCAAGAGTCCCTGGCAGCCGACGGTGATGAGAGAATGAACAGATCCGTGCACGAGGATAGTATAGCTTACGAATGTTGAAAACAGGTACTAGTACAGGAAGACAGGTGATTTCCGAGGAATACGTGACCGTGGCATCAATGTATGTCGCAACCCCCCCTCGTTTTACATTACCCCGTGCCTCGCATTTGGCCCAGCTCCAATCTTGACAGAAGGAACACATCCTGTCGTCAAGCTATTGAGGGAGACTAACCGAGATGCGCCGAAGCTGCTTCTAGTTGCTGTCTCGTTACAGATTGCAAATTCAAGCTCTGTGCCATCAGAGTTGTCCTCCTGCGCATTCCCATGCGAAATCATGCGAACATGTCGACGTGACCAACCTAGTCCGAAGGGTGTGTTTTACATTAATTTCTCCCTAGTGATCCCCAGGCATTAATGTAAGACGCGGGGGGGGGTCTTTTATTTTGGGTTGGGCGTGGGGATGGCGCCGGCGCCGGACAACGAACCAACCCGCCCCGACGCGGAGGGGGATGATGCGGTCTTGGCGACTGCCGCACACTGCGAGCGCGTGAAGCCACAGGCCGGGGACGTGGACGAGGACGCAGAGCCAACTCACCCGCACCCAACCCCGACCCCCACCGCCCGACCCGCAGCCGCCTACCACCCAACGTGGACTAACCACCGCATCTGCTGAAGCCGACGTGCGACAGGGCCTCGCCTCACTAAACCCGGTACACCTCCAGGCTACCTGCCGGCCGTCAGCGTGTTTTCACGCTGCAGTCCGCTCCCGCGCGCATCCGGGAAAGCGCTGCGTGCCGCCATGCGCACCAGGCTCCGGCTCGCTGTCCACCCGGTTGCCCGTGAAGACGCGCAACGTGGTTGGAAGTTTTTTTGCCTCGCCCCCCGCATGTTTCTGTTCCGATCGCCCGGTGAGTCCCGCATCCCATCAGCTGAGCTTGAGCGGCGGTGCGAGTTGTTCCGCGTTGGACACTGGACGGACCTGATGCGCCAGTCCGCCTCCACGGCGGCAGCTTCGCCAGGCCCGCGCCGAGGCGACCCTTCTTACGTGCAACGGGCACGCCGTGCGCCTCGCGCGCCAACTACCTTTTGCGAATCCACCTCACGGCTGACTTCGCAGCGGAGCATGTGCTTGTGATATAAGCGCGCGTGCGAGACGCATTTTTCAGACCTCACCCCGCGTCTCGCGCGCTGCTGCTGTCGCAGGCAGAGCCCTTCGCTTCCCGCGCACTACACCTCATGCCCACGCGCGATGACATCGCCATGCCCAGTGCACAGTTCCGCGTTTTTTCGCTACGGCAACTGCGCTTGCCCCTCCCGCTCGCTCCGTGCAAGTGCAGCTGCCATGGAGCACTGGACACCCTCGGCGACCACCGGACGGTTTGTGCCACCTCCGGCGTCCTCGCCACATGCGCGCTGCCCCGTGAGCACGCCGTTGCACGGTCTGCTGCGAAGCTGGCGCCAGGGTCGCACGACACGAGGCTCGCCGACATGAACCTCGACGTTCTTGTCGCTCACGAGCGACGCATCGAGGTCGCAAAGGGCCTGCCCTTCTGGCACGGCTCCCAGCTTGCGCTCGATGCCACGATCGTTCCCCCACTGACGAGACGCGGCGAAGTCACCCGCGCGCCGACGTCCAGCCAGGCTGCGCTGTCGCTGCCGCAGCGCGGCGCAAGCGGTGCCAAAGGTACCCTGAACTTGGCCGCGCCCGTAGTTGTCGATTAGTTGTGGTCTGCATCGAGACCGGCGGGCGGTTCGGCACCGAAGGAGTGCAGTTCCTGCGCTTCCTCGCCCGCCATCGCGCGGCCTCCGTTCCAGCCCACCTGCGATCGGCCGCCACGCCGGTGCAGCGCAGCACGCCTACGCCGCCCCACTCCTCGAGCTGCCCCCGCAGTCGAGTTGCGCGAAGGACCTACGCCCGATATGCGCGCTGTGGCCACCGGTCTCGCTTGTGGTAAGCTGCCTACAGCTAGCAGGCCGACAACTGACTCCTCACCGCCGGCGCGCACAAACCATCCTCGGCTACCTCGATGACACGTACGTTTTTCCGCGCGCCGGAGCGATTGCGCGAACTATATAATGAGGCCTACCGGCGGGCTTTGTGGGCTGACGCACGCGTCGAGCTCAACCGCTTCAAAACACGCATGTGGAATGCCGCCGGGGAGGAGCCTCCCGGAATCTCCGCATGTCAGGATGACCTGGACACAGCAACAGACACTGTTTACAGCCTGTACGAGCGTGATCCCACTGCAGCTGCAAACTACGGTGCGCCTGCAGCATACGCGGTGCCACATCTGCACTCTGACACAAGCTTTTTTAGTCCGACCGCTTGTCGTCCCTCGCCGAACCTACCGGGTCCTACCGGAATCGGCTATCCGCGACAACTTCTGTGTAGCAGGTCGCCCAACGGTGGCGCGTCACCATCACATTGCGCTCCATCATCCCAACAAAACAACAAGGAATGTTGATGGTCCGCGCGACAGGAGGGAATGTCTGCAGCAGCAGCGCAGAGAGCAACACAATCGAACTTTGGCTCGAGTGAGCCGCAAAGTCGACAACCACCCTAATGCATGCATGCATACATACATATGTATTGATTTACGGTGTATACACATACGTTGAAACTTGATTGTAACACGAAACATACGGCATGCAGAGATCGGATCACAGAAAAAATTGAATTTTGTGCTCCCGCCCCCTGCCTGCAAACGAAACATGTAAACCAAACCCGTAATATCAAGGGTTTCCCCAGACACAAGCACAAACTCATAGGCACAGACACTTGCAGACACACGCGGACACACACAGACATGGCAAAGCTACGCTATTTGGGGCAGGCTGACTACCTGCAGCGACTCCTACGCGCTCAAAACCGCTACGGGGGCGCAGCGGCAGGCGACTGGGGCTCGCTGGGGCGGCGAGCTCGAGCACGCGCTCGAGGGGCGGCTCGTCACTCTGGCACGGGTGGAGCGGCGCTGGCCAAGCCTGTCCCAGTGCCGTGCTGGCGACTGCCTGCTGCACCGCCACCCCCAGCATGCCCCACCAGCGGCGCGACCAGCCTGCAGCGGCCGCGGGACGGAGCGCGGGCGGGGCTCTCTGCGACCGGACGCGTAGCAGGTGGTGCACAAAGCGTCCAGCCTCGCCATTCCAGCGCCCGCCGACCTCGGAGCCGAGGACAACGAGTTCTTGCGGCCCTCCGCTGCACAGCTCGCGATATGTGGACCGCTTGCCCCGCTCGGCAACCCTGAGCATTGCCCCGTCCGTGTCAGCCGCTCCCGGCTGAGGGTGCCCCGTCCGCGTGAGTGGCGAGACGAGGGTGGCATCGCAACACAACGCGCCGCCCCGCGGTGTCGCGCCGTACACGACCAGGTCGAGCCGTCTGCGGTCGTCGGCGGGCATTCCGGGCGCGGTAGTGTGCACGAGCCATTGCTGAGGGATGACTTGCCCATCGGATCCGACCGCCTCGCGGGCCACGCGCACCCAGGCCCGCTCGACGATCTTCGCTCGGCGAGCCAGTAACCCTGTGCGCGGGCAGGCGAGGGCGTAGTCCCCGTACTGGTCTACCTGCTGCCCGCTGGGGCCGCAACAGTTCGGGCTGAGCGGCAGGCGCAAGCGGCGCCGCAATGAAAGCTGCATGGCTTCCGGGGCGAGGGTTAGTGCTGGTTCGCTCGGCACTGCCGCTAGCCATGCGCCAGCGTGTGCCCCGCCTTGCGAGCGTAGCAAAGCCCAAGATGCTGGCTGCAGAGCCGGCAACAGCACGAGATCGCGATAGTGAAGGTTTCGAGTCCGCGTCGCGTGAAACTGCCAGCCGTGCGGCCACTCGCCCGGGCCTGCATCGCGAGGTTGTTGCGGCCGGGCGCCCTCGTGGGCAGCGTGCCAGCCGGGGCACGCTTCCCAGCCTTCTGCTTGCAAGAGGCTTCGCGCTGCTGCTGCTTCGCGTAAGCAGGGGATCGTGCCCTCCATGCCGTGCTCGAGTGCCTCCAAGCACCGAGCAGCTGCGCCGGGCAGCCGGGACCGAATGACAGGAAACGCGTCCATCCATGCTGCCCAGTACGCCGCTGGGGCCGTCCGCTCTGCTGACTGCAAACCGAGCCCGCCGCAGACAGCTGGCAGCGATGCGAGTGGCCAGGCCTGCTGTGCCTCCGCCAAGGGCACGCCCCCTAGACACGCTTGAAGCGTGTCCCAAACGGCTTGGTCGTGTGCCCGCGCATACGACGCCGATTCGGCAGGCGGGAGTGTTCGCACGGCGTGGTTGGCGTGGGGCGACGCGCAGAACAGCAGCAGCAGCAGCAGCCAGGCGCATTGGGGGTCTGGGAGGTGAGGTAGCTCGTCAAGCAGACGGCGTTCCTCCTGAAGACGCGCGTCTGCCCAGGCCTGGACGAAGTCGGGGTGCCCCACCGGTGTGCCCAGCACCACGATCCCGCCGCCAAACGTCATCGCCCAACTCAG